AGTGATGGGGTGTGTTGGGAGGGTGCGTGGTGCGGTGCTGGGGGGCAATGGTAGGGGTGCAGGGCACTGCCTTGGCAGAGAAACCCCCCAGTGCCAGGGGAGAGGGCAGTGTGGGGCAGTGCCCCCCAACAGCACCACTGTGGGGCTGGGACAAACAGGACGACAGCCTTCCCTCCCTGTCCCAGGCAGCTCCGTCCCATGCTGGGGAGCCAGGAGGTGCCAGGCAGGGAGGAGCATCGTCCCCCAGTCTGGGTCTTTGTTGCCTCCTCCTGCTCAGCAGAAGGTGGTCGGGTCCCTCCTGGTCCCAGCACAGGGGCCCTGTGGGAGGCCAGCAAGCAGGCAGGGCCAGCCTGTAGGAAACAAAACCCTGCTCCTGCAGTCAAAACCTGGAAGGCACTGAGAGATCCCCTCCCAGAGACCTAGGTCCCCTCCCAAATCTCTCTGTGCAGCCAAGACAGCTCCCCCCAGCCCTGCAACACTCTGGGCTCCTGGGCAGGATCTCAGCAGCACGTGTGTCCTGTTGCAGCCAGGTCCTGATGAAAGGAAGTCGGAGCTGCTGCCTGCTGGCTGGGAAGCCAACAAGGAGGTGTACACGCTGCGCTACAAGTCCACGGACGATGCCCGTGAGCTGCTGCTGAAGGCCATCATGGTGGAAGACAGTATGATCCTCAACGTCATGGTGAGCACCCAGGCTGGGCCCTGCAGGATTGGGCTCCTTCAGGTGCAGCGGCTGCTGCCGCCCAAAATGTGCAAGCAACAGCAGGGCCCATTTCTTATATTTTTGATGTTACTTGCAGCGATGTTTGTCCCTCAGGATGGGGCAGACCCAGGGAGTGTTAGGGGTGTGCAGCAGGCAGCGATGCGGTTTCCCTTGCGCACTCTGGCCCAGGCGTTGCCCCTTTTGCGTTCCCTTCCCAGCTCAGGATTTTTCTGCAGATCTTTTCTCCTATCCCCCACAAGCACCTGCCCGGGGTGTTTTTGCTTTCACCCTTTGCAACCCTGGTTGGAAGAGCGAGCAGGGAGAGCCTCGCTGTACCCTGGAGTTTGTTTGCTCCTGGGGATTCAGGCACAGCACAGGAACGTGGCGAGAGGCAGGCAAGCCCATTCCGGGTGTCCCAAGCCCCCAGCTGTGGTCGTACCTGCTCCTTCCCTCATTCCCAGCTCTGCTGGGCTGCTGACTCTCTGTTTCTCTTGTCTTTTGCCAGGATCGCAGTTCTCAGAAGGTGGCAGATGTGACCTTGGCAGTGGCCGACTACATCAACCCAGAGCACCTGGACGATTTCCACAAGTAATCTCAGTTCCTCGTCATTCTCTGCAGGAGAAATTGTCCCACCGGCTGGGGAGGGGGGCAGAGGCTAAGTTAGGAGGGGCCTCGAGGACTCTCCTCCCCACTACAAAGCCTGGGGCAGCGCAGCCAGCCCTGAAGTGCAGTCAGAGCTCCCTCCCCTGCCTTCCTCCACACTGCTGGCAGGCAAGGGGGATTTAGGGGATGGTGAGACCCTGGACTGGAACCCAGGGGAGAGGCACCCCACCTGGGAACGGGCTGCACCAGCCCAGCACTTTTATTTCCAGAGCACTGTCTGCCTGTCTGTGCTGGGTGGACACTGCCCAGTGGTGCTACAGCTTCAGCCATGGACCAGACACCTTCAGCCGTGGCCCAGGCACCCTGTGGCCTTGCTAAAGGCCGGAGCTATGTGCTGTGGTTTCCTCCGGTGCAAAACTAGTTGGGTCATGGCCAGAGCACGAGGGAGTCCCCGGGGCTGGGTGGCACCTCTGCCCTCTCAAATAGGGTCAGGGCTTTGGTGCCGCTGTGTGCTGTTACCCCTTCCCATCCCCTCCGTGCTGCCAGCTGGGGGGACATTCTGTGCCAGGGATGCTTTGGGCACATCTGTCCCCTCACCACCCCTCTCGCAGCCTGTCCAGCACCTTGCACCCGGGTGCCGTGGCCTCCCCAGCCCACCACCTCTCCTCTCCTCCCTGCAGGGTGTACAAGAACACCGAGGAGCTGAGGACAAGGATTGCTTCAGGCATCATTGCTCCCCTTGGGGCCCCTGCAGAAAAGGCCAAAAAGGAGCCTGAGGTTGAGAAGAAGGATCCTGGTTTGCCCCGGGATTACGACCCCCTCAGGGCTCCTCCCCGGCGGCCGGCAGACACGAGAGCACCGGCCTGGTGAGTAAAGAGCGAGTGGCTGCTGACGGTCCTCCGTGAGACTAAACTCTCCAAACTTTACCTCTGGTCCCCATCTCCATTGGATGGGGAGCAAAGGGGATCCAAACCCTCCCCAGCCAGTCTCAGCCTCGTTGGCCACGTGCTTGGGTTTGATTTAACTTGCTCGCTGAGGGGTGGCCTGTTCTGGAGCTGTGTGTTGGTTTGCTCCTCTTTTGGCACTGCCTGGGGGTGTAGGTGGAGACCTTACAGACCCAGGAGGGAGAGGACAGCGTGCAGGGCTGGGGGGAAGGCGAGGGGTGGAAGGAGGGAGACCTTGGTCTGTGCTGGCTGAGGGACCTCCGGGGCTGGCAGAGCAGGGACAGCAGTGGGAAGGACGGTGCTGTCATGGGGCCGAGCAGCCTCGGGGAGGGACAGCAGAGCGCTGGGTGTCAGATGGAGCCATGGGCTCCAGCAGAGCGCTGGGGTCTGTGCTCATAGGGGAGAGGGCGTGTGGTGGGTGCAGAGCTCTGCCTTCGTGTGGCCCAGAGCCGGGGCTGCCTCTAAGCCTCCTGCCTGCTGTGGCCGGTAGAGCTGCCCTCCCAGGGCGATGCACCCAGCCGGGGCTTGCAGCCAGGCCCAGGAGGTGCAGGGCTGGCGGAGAGGAACAGAGATCAAGATCTCCTTGCTCTCCTGCCCCTGCTTTCCCTTTGAAACCCTTTGCTGGCAAAGCTGGGGAGAGGGGACGCACGACACCAGCTTCACCGTCCCTCCCTGGCCCCTTCGTGCCCAGCCATCCCTCGTACGTGGCAGGCGGGCTCCCCCCTCTCTCCCCCACCAGGCTGTAATCCCCTTTGGCTGGAAGTCAGAGACGATGCGGTGGCTCTGCCATCTCTTGGGGACCGGCTGTGGCTTCTGCCTTGCGTGTCACCTCTTGCTCCTTTAACCCCACTGCTGTCTGCTGGTGCTTAGGGTGCGAGATGCTCCCTGGGGAGGCCTGGGCAGACAGGCTGGAGCTGGGCACAGCTCTGAAACCATGTTATTGGCACATATTATTGGCAAGGAGATGTGATGGCTGGCTGCAGGCTCACTGCCCCGCTGTCCTCGCACTCCTGGAAGCGGGACTGTCATTGTGTCTCCGACCGGGACATGCTGGAGAGCCTGGCCTAGCCCGGCATCGCTCAGGGAGCCCCTGGCATGGAAACTCCCAGCGTCCACAGACAGCTCCAGCCTGGAGCAGCAGGAGCAGCAGGGCCCCCTTCATCTCAGCAAGCTTCCCGCAAGCCTGCCACGCACACTGGCGTCCCCACCCAGCTGCCCCCCGGAGCAGGGAATGCTGTGTCCTGGGCACGGGGTGGCTCCCAACACCAGCCCGTTCACGCAGGGTCCTGCAGGTCCCTTGGGTGCTGCAGTGCTTGCCGTGGCCGAGCACCCACGAGCACAGCACCAGCAACCATGCTGGCTGCGCTGCCCTGCCTGCTTGCTTGCTCCACGCAGCTGGTCTCCCCTTCACCGAACGTCTCGCTGTGTTCTGTGTTTCAGGCCTTCCCCCTTGGGCCCCTTCGCTGTTGGTGGGGAAGACCTGGACCCTTTTGGGTGAGTATGGCTGGGAGAGGTCGTGCTCTATGTGCCCGGGGAGCATCCCCTGCTCTGCCCTTGGGGTGCACGGGGGTGGCTGGGGACCTTCTCTGGACCAGCTGGAGTCCACCTGGCTCAGGTGTCCAGGGAAGCGTCTCTAAGTGGGGACGGCGATGGGACACTTGCTCGGTGCAAATTGCGAGGGACCAAAAGACAGTTGTTAAACCTCAATATGGTTCTAATATCGTAATAAGATCCCGTCTCTTGCATAGATGATAGGTTGCAATCTGCGTCTGTTTAATAATCAGCTTGTATTCATTTAACATGCAGTAATTCCTTCAGTAAATCAAAGCTGAATACGTTGTTAAGTGAATGTAAGCCTCTAATTTAAAATGTTACCAGCTGCTGCGCCCACAGCCCAGCAGTCTGCAGAAGGGGAGGCTTAAAGCCGAGTCCACAGATTCTCGAGGCCTGGTTGTGAGACTCCCGGCTGTCTGAGGCACTCGAGAGGCAGCCTGGGTAGAAGGAGGGCTGTCTGGGGGACTGATCTTCACAGATACATCTCTCTCTCTTTGGTTTGGTCGGCCAAAGGAGAACCTGTCATCTTCCATGCCAGTTAAAAGCACACAGTCAGACAAAAAACAGTTCTTGGAGCCATTGCAGAGCATCCTGCGGCCCAGGGGAGTCCTCTTTGGAACCACTCTCCTGTGGGGATCGCATTTTTTCCCCTTTTGCAAGACTCGGTTCTCCATGGGTTTGGCTAGAAAAGGGCCAGCTAAAAACATCCTGCCCGGCTGGAAGGAGAGGCCTGGAGCCTGGGTGGCTGGAAGGAAACCTGATAGCGTGAGGAGAGGGGGTTCGGTTGTGGGGGAGACCCTGTTTCTCTCGCTGCCTCCAGCCCTTCATCAGAAGTTTCTCCATAAATGACAAAAAAGATCGTAAATGGAAGCAGACTTGTGTGCTGACACCTGCCAGCGCTGGGGCTGGAGACCCAGGCTCCCAGGCATATGCTCACGGGGCCTGGCTGTCCCGGGGCGCTTTGGGCAGCCGGCCTGGCGTAATGGAACTCATTAGTGCGGTTGTTAATGACTTGTATGATGGCAGCGGTGTCCAGAGGCTCCAGCCGAGTTTGCACAAAGCCGACCATGAGGAATGGCACTCGCAGCGTGGGGCAGCTCCGAGGAGCCGCCGTGGTCAGCAAATGACTTCCAGGCAGCTCCTTGGAAAGGCTGGTGGGAGCCCCGGCTGGGTCTGCGAGCTCTTGCAACACGGCGCAGGGCAGGACGTGCTGCTGGCCCGCGAGAGCAGAGAGCAGCGACGGGAGTAGGAGCCGGCGGCGAGGGCCAGCAGGTCTGACGCTTCCCCAGGGGGTGGTCAGCAGCCTGCTGGGACTCACTGGCCATGGCTGATGCCCTAACTGGCTCCTTGCAGGAACCGGGGAAAGAGAGAAGCTGCCTCTCTGCTGCTCCGAGTGCCTCTTGTGGCATCGGCTCCGGGGCAGGCAGGCGGGAGAGGGCTGCTGCTTCCCTGCGCGTGTCTGCAGCTAGCCCTGGGGGTTGGGTGGCACGGTGGTGCCTTGGACCTGGGCTTTGCTGGTGCTCTGGCTTGGGCATGCGCTCTGCAGCTGTAGGACTCCTGTCTCGGCGTGAGGATGAGCTGTGATTCGCATCCTGCCCCTGACCTTGTGGCGTGGTGCGGGCAGGTTTGCAGGGCTGTGATAGCCCCGGGTAGGAGCAGGCTGCCATGCGTTCGGGTTCCCTCCTGTGGCAGACAACAGCCTCCGTGGGACGAGGATCTGCTGAGCTCCAGAGCTCCTACACACGCACACAAACACGCGTTGAGTGCTCTCTGTCTTGCTGCCGTGAGCCCACCTCGCTGGCTTGCCCTGGCCCACGTTGCCGGGGTGCTTTCCTTCCCATGTGCTCCGTGTGTCGGCTTCACCCCACATTCCTGTGCTCGGTCTTGCTGCAGCACAGGGATGCGCTTTGCTCCTCTCTCACCGGTGCAAATCTCATCTCATTCTCTGCTTCTCCTCTCCCCAGAGGTCGGAGTGGGGGAATGATTGTGGATCCTCTCCGGTCTGGCCGCCCACAGCCCGGCATTGACCCATCGTCGGGCATTCCAGGCCGCCTTCCCCCGGGAGCGGTTCCACCAGGTGCCAGATTTGACCCCTTTGGCCCATTAGGAGCTGGTAGATCTGGGTGGGTATTCAGCTGCGCCTCTTACCCCCAGCCTGCTCTCCGGGCTGCCCCTGGATCTCCTGGCTCATTCCTGTTGCTGCGGGACGGAGCTCTCGCTCCCGATTTGACTCTGCTCTGAATTTCTTCCCAGGCCGGATCCCGACCACCTTCCCCCTCCGGGCTATGACGACATGTTCATGTGAGGAGTCACCGCACGGCTCCTCACGGCTGCGGCCAGAGCGGTCTCCTGGGAAGCCGGAGCACTTTTCCCTCTTCGCTCCCTGTTGAGTGGACTTCGATCTTTTCAGCAGCATTTTTCTTCTCCCCATTCGGGGCCACGTTCCTGTCTGTCAGACCAGCTATAAAGGTTTCCCTGCGTGCAGAACAGAAGAGGAGGCAGTCGGTTCGTTTCTTTCCGTGCTCCTCTGAGGGTGCCCGGCCGTTTGCACCCAGTTGAAGGGGTCCTGCCCGGCACGAGGTGGCAGCGTGGGGTGCCACGCTCCGAGAGCGGCCTGGGTGCTGGGGGGTTTCCTCCTCTGCTTCTTCGGGGTGGCACCGCTTTGGCTGCTGGGGTTACGCAGGCACTCGGTGCTGAGGAGGGAGCTGGCGGCTTGCCGTGCCGGTGCTGGGGAGCTGCAGTAGCCTCGCTGATGGTGGCAGCCGGAGGGGGCTCCCCGTGCGGAGATGGTTTCTCTCTTGCTCTTTATCCAAGCGAGGGCTGATCAGTGTGAAGGGGTAGAAAGCCTGACCCGCGGGGTCTCCGTGGGCAGACCCCCCGCAGCGGCTGAGATCAGCTCCCACACGGCCATGCCCGCCACCAGCAAAGCCTTTAGTGTGCAGGAGAAGAGACATATATTGAATTCCTGGCCCCACCTTGCCCCCTCTCTCCCCTGAAGCCGTGTTGATTTTCATTCTCGGGGTGCTTCAGAGCCCTGCAGGGGACGGGGTGAGGGCTC